CTGGAAATATATGCTTTTGCTAATTTTTTTAAGTCTATCACCATTTGTTTTAATAACCTGTTATCATTTGTNGCACCAATAATGTTTGAGAAAAGTTGGTATTTTGATGTTTGAAGTGTCTTGTTTTTTTCTCTTATGAGGGCTATGTTAATTCTGGAAATATACGCTTTTGCTAATTTTTTTTAAGTCTATCACCATTTGTTTTAATAACCTGTTATCATTTGTATTACTTGTTTTCTTGCTTGATATGGTACTGGACCAATTTCCTTGATAATCAAAAAATCATTTTTCTATACTTATTGCTATTGGGTGCCTTCAGTGTTATTAATTGTTTTATATAATTTTCAGTTTATAGTTTTAGCAATCGAAAAATGGTTCATTCATCGGACTGTACTTTTTCAAAGTTCTTGACTACAATTGAAATTCTTATTTTTACCCGGGCATTTTCCCGGTTGCTTCTGGACTTACAGTGATTAGTTGGAAAAACAGTCACTGTTTCTTCTTTTTATTCTCGCCTTATTACAGTCATTTCAGTTGGAGTTTTTTCCCTGGTGTTTCATTTTATGTACAAGGAAAGGGTATGGCATATTGTTTTTCATTCATGCCAGTTTACTTCAAAGAGTGCACAGTGAATAATAAAACACTCTGAACAAGACATCATTGCCTTCATAGAGACAAATAGACCTCATCGGCCTTTTTCACATTCCACGGTTAATAATGCTGATCTCTTTGCAACATAATGTCAGATGCGCAACTAAACTATATGATTTATTAAGAAAATGTGGTTTTATGTTCTTTAAGTTGCATGTGAGAAGTCGAGAAAGGGGGTTTGAAATTTAACGCTATAATCATCTTGATGGTTGACATGTTACTGCAAGCTCTTTTGTTTGTGTGGTGAACTTTCTAGGCATATCTGCTCATCCTTGGTAACATTTTTAAGTTTGCTGAACCATTCTAGGTGAAAATGCAAGAGTAACCTTGACTTTGTTAGACGTGATTTAAGTTTCTGAGCAACTCTGCTAAAGAGAGAGTTTGCATGTTTTGAACTTTTTACCATTAACCGGACAATTATCTGCTTGCTCTGATCTTTCAAGTTAACACCATGGAATGGAATCTTTGAGTTGCTTTTATACTATCATTTCTGCCTCATCTTGAGAGCAGCATGTCATACCGTGGCATTTTAACAAAAGCTATCGGGTTTACAAGAAGTTCCTTTTCATCCTTTTGACATTAGTCTATTGAGCATTTAGCTTTCATTTGGTTGCTGTTGTGCTTTGCATGCACCATCTTTCTATGCAATTGGGTATGCGATACTTCCATATGGGGTATTAAGTCTGCTAGTGTGATAAACCGTAACTCTTGACCACTGTGGATTCAGTAACCCTGCACTTGAATATTCAATATTGTATTCTTCTCTTGCTGATCAGACATATAATGGTAAAAATGACAGACGATTAGTTCCAGAAACAGAGATATTATCCATCGATGTGAAGCCTGGGTGGAAGAAGGGAACAAAAATTACCTTCCCAGATAAAGGAAATGAGCAGCTGAACCAGCTTCCTGCAGATCTTGTATTTGTGATTGATGAGAAGCCCCACGATGTTTACCAGAGAGACTGCAATGACCTCATCATGAATTATAGGGTCTCACTAGCAGAGGCACTGGGAGGGACCACTGTGAATCTCATTACGCTAGATGGGCGAAATATGTCAATCCCGGTAACTGACATTGTGAGCCCTAGCTATGAACTTGTGTTGGCCAGGGAGGGCATGCCAATTGCAAAGGAGCGTGGTAATAGGGGCGATTTGAAGATCAGATTTGAAGTTAAGTTTCCTACAAGATTGACAGCGGAGCAACGAACATCGCTCAAGCGTGCTTTAGGGGGTTAATAGTAAAGGCTAAAAAAAAGTAACCGAGTGCACGAGACTTCTATCATTGCGTATCGGAAGAGGGTTAGCAAAGTCTCATGACTTATTACAGAATGATGGGCTATTGTATTGGCATACATGCTCTTCTGTAAACAGGGCTATCAGTATTAAGGTCATTAGGATGCCAAAACTATCTTACTATTATTGTTCAACGAACTTAGATCCATTAGACTTATGGGGGTTGTCAAAATAGATGTGATGTTCAAAGTAGAATTTTTTTTTTTTTTTTTTTTTTTTGGGGGGGGGGTATTACAACACCAAATTACACCATTCATATTCTTCTGTTAAGACTGGGGGCAGACATGTTGACCATTGGTTTTCATCATGTATTTATTCACTTGTGGTGTATAGTTTATTGCAGTTCTATTGTTTGATTAGTTCATTTGATGTAGTGGTGAATTATGTAATAAATTTTGTATTAGACAGAGTGATGGCTTCTCAAAATTGAAAGTATGGAGCATCTCTCTCTCTCTCTCTCTGCATATTTGTGTTGCTCAAATGACCCAAAATATGCAAATAATTAATGCTATTTAGACTTAAACATTTAAAGTAATTTGATGACATAATGATGTAGTTTCATTGTAACTGTTTTTTAGATAAATTTTATTATAACCGTTGAATTAACACTAAATTTTAATGTTTAATGGGCCCACAGTTAATCAAAAAACTATGGTGAATTAGGTCAGTAAATTTTATCAATAAACTATGTCTAAATAACATTACTCAATGCAAGTTGTGACCATTTGATGCCTTTTTCCTTAATTTTTTCCCATCGTTTTATATANTATGTAATAAATTTTGTATTAGACAGAGTGATGGCTTCTCAAAATTGAAAGTATGGGGCATCTCTCTCTCTCTCTCTCTCTCTCTCTCTCTACATATTTGTGTTGCTCAAATGAACTCTTTCTATTAGTAAGCTGTAAAAAACCCAAAATATGCAAATAATTAATGCTATTTAGACTTAAACATTTAAAGTAATTTGATGACATAATGATGTAGTTTCATTGTCACTGTTTTTTAGATAAATTTTATTATAACCGTTGAATTAACACTAAATTTTAATATTTAATGGGCCCACAGTTAATCAAAAAACTATGGTGAATTAGGTCAGTAAATTTAATCAATAAACTATGTCTAAATAACATTACTCAATGCAAGTTGTGACCATTTGATGCCTTTTTTCTTAATTTTTTCCCATCGTTTTATAGATATTTATAAGGTTCGAATACTTATGTACGTGTTTTTTGTTTTTATATAAATATGGGAAATTAGGTAAAATTTTTGTAATATTTATAATGTTGAAATACTTACTTGTGTTAGGTGAGCACTAGATGAGTAGATACATAATAAAATTAGGAGTGACTATTTTTAATAACATCTGTCAACTCAACACAATCTGATATATTTATATAGATATAAATTTAATCTACCAAAATAGATTATAATTGAATTATTTGGATAGAATCGGTCAATAAATCAATTGATACCGATGATGTGTGGAATCGAGAAATGTGAACCGTGAGAGTTGAGTGTGAACAAATTAATAATAAGCAAGACCACAAGGACTTAAATGGTTCACCGAGTTGAAAAAGTAGGCTGGTCCTATGTAATGAAATCTGTTGTTCCTCTAGTTAATATTACTTGGCAATTATACACGTACCTTTGCAAGGCAAGGGCTTGTCTATTTATACACTAGACTAGTGTGATCATCAAGTAATCATAGTGTGCTCCCCTCCCTTAGTTTGTCAAAATATTTTGAGGAAACATTTAACTATTGGGGGGTCTATTTTTTAGATATGACGTGACATTCTAGAGGTGATGACTTATTCCTTAATGTAGAGGACTTGACTATGGTGTAGCCAAAAAAATTTCGATACCATACCTCCAAAATTTACTATTTCAAAGGATATTTTTATAATTTTTGTGGGTCATTTTACAACCAAAATATCAACCAATTTTTTGGTTGATTTACCACTTTAATGGGTATTTTTACCATTATTGTGGGTATTTTTATTACATTTGTAATAACTATTTTTACCATATTTCTTAAGTATAAAAAAAAAATTTTACTTTTGTGACTGATTTACTACATTTATGGGTGTTTTTACAACATTTGTGGATGTTTTTATTACCGTTGTGATCAATATTTTTACCATTTTTTTGAGTATCACAACAATGCTAAAACTATTCACAAATGTGGTAAGTTTTTGAATGATACCCTAAAACTTGTGGAATGTACCTAGTCTACTTCTAATGTAGGATTGATTATTGTAATTCCTCTTCCGTCTTTTCTCCAAATGTAAGTTGAGCTGCATAAGCAGCTACCGAGTTGTATTAGTTACTGTCGAATTGGCTTGTGACTTAGCAGACTTTGACTCTGACAAGTCGGGTCAACCAGGTTAGGATCATGTCAACCAGTCAATCCGTTGGGTTGTGGACTTATTTGGACTACATATTTCAACTTGGCATCATCAAATACACATATGACTTAACAAGATACAAACCAAACTACACAATTTATTCACTATAAATATTAGATTATACACGATTATAATTAAACAAATTTTAATACAACACCACAAAAACCCGATATAATATCCTATAATCCATTAAAGTAAATAAACTGACAGAAAGCTGTGAATGAAACATACTATCCACCCGTACCAGAAAGGAATCATTTCTACCTCACGTAATTTAAATTAAAACTCATTGTCAAGGCCTAAAATAAAGAGAGTAATATTAGAGTGACTTCAAAAATAGGATAAAAAGTAAAAGATCAAGTTATGTAAGCTTTAAATTTTAAACTACGTCAGTCTGTTTCTTTATTTTTATTTTTTTGTTATTTTTTAATCAATCTCGCATTACTCTTTTTTCGCCTTATTTTTATGCTTAGTCTAGCATTACTCACAAAAAAACTTAATAGTTATTATATCAAAATAAACTTAGAACCCAAATTACCAAAAACCCATGAAACCAGATTAGATTCCATTGAAAAGCTAAAGATACTTGAAAGAAGATCATCAACACCAACTGGGTACAGAAACTGCACATATCTTTACATGAAAAGAGAAATCAAAAACCCCTACTCCTCTCTCCTGGAGGACCAGCTTGAAGAGCAGGCAAGCCATAGTAGTGCGGCCCTGCACCAGGCTGAGTCTCTAAACTACTACTACTACTAGGTTGCACACCACGGGGACCCGGTGGCTGCACCCATCTAGCACCCTGATGCCAAGAGGGTGCAATATTTTGTGGCCCTTTCAACATATTAGTCGGAAAGGGCTGCATTGACTGCTGAAAGCTGCCATGCATGGATCGTTGTGGCTCAGGCTGCAGCTGGGGTGCTTGTGGCTGCCACTCTGGTATGTCATCGTCCTCATCATCGTTATCGTTCCAAGGTTGAATCCCTGGACCAACACCTCTTTTATCCTGCCAGTTACTAGGAGCAACACCGGTACCGGTTTGCCCATACTTGTGTATAAGATCTCTTATTTGGTTTACTGGTCTGGACGAAGCCTGACCATGATGGTTCAAATGAGTCATTCTTGACCCCCGAGAATGGTTTTGGGAAGGAAATTTTGGGGCGGATGGGTTTACATTGCCCGAGAAGTTGAACTCGGGCAAATCATCCTCATCCCGGGCTGCAGCCGGGCCAAACCCAGGAGGAATATCATCATCATCATCATCATCATCATCGCCATCATCATCATCAGGTGGAGGTACAGGATTGGTACGAGGTGGACCAGAAGAAATGGGAACCTTTGACGCTAAGTTTGAATTAACATGGATATCTTTTTCTTGTTCTCCCCTAGATGTGAACTGGTGTTTTTTCGAACCATGTTTATGGTGAGAAGATGAGTTGGGTGAGTGATGTGTGGCACTTAAATGAGCTTTTCTCCATACAACTACACCAATTAGGCCATTATCTGTTGATTTAAGTATCTCTGTGTGGTCTTTGTTCAGGTGCTTGCTGATCATATCAACTATTCTTGTGTGAGGTGGGCAGATATAAAGCTCGGTTCTCGGGATCGCCTCGGCAAAACCCAACCTCTCGTCGGTAACATATGAATTCGCCACCTGAAAGAGAAAATGGCAAAAAATTTGTTTGGTAAGCAATAAAATACATGGGTTAAATGACCTAAGAAAGACGACACAAAAATATGAAAAATAGAAACCTCGCAAAGGGTTGAGTGCTCATTCTCGGAAGATCCTTCTTTCAAAACGAAGTGAACAACCTGCAAAAAGAAAGCAATCTCATCACCATAACTACTCAAACAACCCAAAATTTACATATTGATACATGCAAATATAAGATCAATTATATATATGAATGTATATAATTTGGTTTCCTCTCAAATAACGGAAGATCCTTTGAAACCCAGATCATTTTTCACTTTTTAAAGTATTCCTTTATTTCTTTATTCTATCTCCCCAAATATTACAAATTTCCAGGACGAAGTGGTACCCTCTTCTGTTTTCTGGGCATAATATCCTACCCAAAACAACTATCAATGATCGTATTCATATCCTCATCTTGTCAAGAAACACTGGTAATTAGAATACCATGAAGTTCCTTTTAAAGTTGTTCGAGAGGGCTTTGCTGCTATTCACAAAGATATTTAAAAAAAAATAGTTTTGTCTCCGAAGTTCCCACTTTCAAAACCCAAATGATCATCAATTCCAATTCACTGTTGAAGTTTGCTTTGCCAGGTCAAAAATCAAGTTTACTAAAAGGAATTGTCTCCCTTTCCAAAAAGCCAGATTTCGCCAAAAGGATATATTACAACATATTAGAACAAGATGAAGGAATCGCAGCCAGTGTTTCAGGAGTTTGTATCAGTTTGTTTCATCTGATATGAACTGCAAAACTAGCATCATACATCACACTACCAATTTATTACACTGCTCCATATGCCAAAAATTATTCAGAGTCCACGTAGAGAGATTCAGTCGAGCGCCAAAAGGAACAGGAAAATATTTGTGAGTGGCAAAATTCTTGACATTCTTAACTCATCGTTCGTACACAAACAACATGCTCGAGTTCTATAATGGTCATACACTCCCAATGATCTTAAACAACTTTCATTTGCAATAAGTAATAGACTGCTACACTCCCTTAAAAGTAGAGAGAGACAAGAGAGGGGAGGATAAATCAGGAGACAGAAATAAACTACAATCAGAAAAAAGGGGACTTGAGATACCATGACTGCACGACTTCGAGACATGGGAAGCTCTTGNCAGTAGAGAGAGACAAAAGAGGGGAGGATAAATCAGGAGACAGAAATAAACTACAATCAGAAAAAAAGGGGACTTGAGATACCATGACTGCACGACTTCGAGACATGGGAAGCTCTTGAAGAAATTTCTCAAACGCATCAAGTCTGACTCTCCCTTTGATCTCAAGAGAACTAGGCCACTCTTTCGTCGATGTTTTCTCACCACTGAAGAAGAGTGAGAGATCAGCAAAAGGCAACAAGCAACATAAAAAAAATGAAAATCTGAATAAATCTTTGTCTAGGCCATCATATTCCAACAAAGATCGTGTCAAGCATCATCTCATTTTCAGCCAACCTGCTATAAATTTTTCAGGCAAGATGTGGAGATACCAACAATAACTGGACACACTACCTGTGGTGCTACTTCCATCACATGCATCAGTTCATTTAGTTCATGCTTGAATCTAACTTTCATCAAGGTTCCCATAACTTGCAACCAGATATGTGGTTAGTCTCTCGCCAAAAAGGCTTCGTAAGCATTCATAGAAACAACAGTATATATGGTCTGAATAAATGGCCAGAGAAACTGAGTTCCAGCTTCAACAGGCAAATGAAAACGACTTGTGAGCTGTTTGTAAAAATGCAATAATATCCACGAGAAAAAATTATATGGCAATTGTACCTAACCCTTCCAAAATATCAAGCAGAGACAATGCACAAGCAACTGGCTGAGTATTACAAAATAAGACCTACTTCCAGGCAAGAACTATGAAAAATGAAACTGAAGCTGCAGTCATAGTAACAAGACAATATTAACTAGATCCAATACAAAATAAAGCCAATGAACAAGTAGTATAATGACAGCCTGCAGCAAGGAAACACTTGCAATGATTTTAGATTTTAACACAGAAAATACGCACCTTCTAAATAAGCCAATGACATTGACCAGGGTCGAGATATTCAGCTGAATTGCACCTTCCCAGACATGTTCAGCCATTGATGTGCTACCAGGAGGTAACCTTTTTTGTTCGACAGGAGCCTCACTGGATTTCACATCCACAGCTACTTCAGTGTGCTTCAAATCCACTGCTAATTCAGTGCGTTTCACATCCACTTTATCAGCCTTTTCTTTAGTAGTATCCACATGGCCTTTGGAAGCTAGATCTGAAGCCCCCAATTCGTTGCCAATTTTCGATTTTTCCTTGTCTAACAGAGGTGTCGTCCGTCCAGCATCAACAGGTAAATTTTCAAAAGGAGGTTCAGAATTAAGGGATTCCATAAATTCATCTAAGGAGACAATTGGTGGAAGAAATTCCGCATCCTTCAATTCATCCACAATCATCCCTTGCATTAAATCCGTCCCATCATTCGGAATAATAAGGCTGCATGAAAAATCCTCGTTTTCTAACCTACTCTTCTCAGCTATGACGTTCTCTTTGTTTCTAGTTTCATCAGTTTCAGAAGGGGAGTGAGCCACAGTCACCTTTTTCCTAGGTGGCCTTTGAGTGAGTGAAGAAGTCCGTGTGGAAACCTCCACCGAGACGCTGTCATCTTGTTCGACTTCTATTTGATAATCACNTGGTGGCCTTTTAGTGAGTGAAGAAGTCTGTGTGGAAACCTCCACCGAGACGCTGTCATCTTGTTCGACTTCTATTTGATAATCACCCTTGTGTGTTTTCTTCACCAACCGCCTGACATCAATGTCCGAATCAGGCAAGACTATCATTTGGGCAAGCTCTTCTGCTTTTGCCATTCGCCACTGAGATAGCTCCTCCGAAGCAAGCTCTTCCGCTGTCATTGAACACAATCGCTCTGGGGAAATCTCACCAGCCATGACTCTTTCTCTCAGTTCTGGATTATTGCGATCTTTTAGATTGAACAACAGGGACCTACCCTTCTCTTTGTACTTCTTATTCACACCTCCAAATAATTTGAAGAGTTCCATTTCAATTTTGAAGGCCAAGTTTTCAGGAGATTGCATGGACTGCTTGGCCTCATCTCCACCAACATCCTCATCAACTGACATAGGTTTTTCAGCAGTTGGAACTTCCCCTGCTTTAGGCACCTGTGTATCAAATTCAAATGCCCAAGAAAGCCCATTCNTATCTCCACCAACATCTTCAACAACTGACATAGGTTTTTCAGCAGTTGGAACTTCCCCTGCTTTAGGCACCTGTGTATCAAATTCAAATGCCCAAGAAAGCCCATTCCCCTGCAAAAGATCATCTTTGACAAAGAAATTGTCACTAAATGAAGCATCAGGCAAAACACAATTGTACTGGAACTCTCGCCCATCGCATCTATAGATTTCAGTAGTAGAACCTTCCACAGATGTGCTTGGGACATCATTCGGTCTATCAGGCCCGCAAGATTCTGTGGCGCGCAAGGTATTCATTGCGTTTTCAGATACATGGTCAACAGCAACAGCAGGATAGGAAGTGAATTCCGAAGGCTGAGAAGTCTCCTGTGTCCGCCGTGGGGTTAAGGCTGCTTCACCTTGAGCATTTTTTCCTTCCTTTGGAGATATATCTTCTTGGTGCTGACTAGCCAAGGCCAATGCAGCAGCCAATGATTCCCTCATCTTGGACCTTACTGCTTCAAATGACTCAGTCTGGACTTTGGGAGATAGTTCCATTTGTGCTGATCGGTTCTTTGGGGTCTGTACCCGCTGAGAACCAGATTTACTTGAAATTGATTCATTTCGAACCATTCTCTTGTTTGTTGCAGGCAAATTTTGCACCGGTGTACTGGAAATGGATTGCATAGGCACAGCTTTTTTGCTTGGTACATGTATTTGCGCCAACCCAGGTGAATGGGGTGAATTTAACATTTGTGTTGAACGTTTGTTTGGCATTGATGGATGCAGGTGCATGGGAATATTCAGCATAGGTTCCATCTCAGCCTTTCGCTTAGTTGGTACTAGCAGCTTTTGTGAACCAGAATTATTCAACATGACTCCCATCTCCCCAACTTGCTGGTTTGGTGGTAAGAACTGTTGTGACCCCAGATTTACCACCTCGGGTTTCATCTGTTGCCACATTTGCTTGCTCAACACTGTTATGTTCTGCGACCCAGGATTATTGGACATTGGTTCCACCAACCCAATTTGTTGTTCGGATCCTGCAACCTGAAGTGACGCAGGATGACCAGAAACAAGTTCCATCCTTCGCATATTTAGTATTGACGAATCCAGGTTGTCAGAAACAGCTTCAATCTGACCCATTTGCCCATATGGTATTGATAAATGCTGCGACACAAGATTGTTGGACATGCTACACTAGCACTAGAAACAAGCAGGTACAACTGCAATTAAGGTTTGAAACATAGTGTGATCCAAAGCATGGAATTGCACTGCAACTCCATGTCATCAATAGGACAGAAGTGTGAATCTCTGCAATCAAAAACCAATGAAAAATAGAACTCGTGAGTATGTGACACATATCCAATATGCAAAAAGTGATCTAAAAATTGAACTATTCAAAGATGACATATCATAACAAACAAAAATTAAGTATTTGATAATATAAGAGCAGAAAATAGTAAGTTTAAAACTAGTTCCCCTCTAGCCAGAAACCTGCCATGCAACCTAAAAATTCAAACATGAGAGAAATATAGCATTGTTATCAGGCATATATTTTTCTATCATAATTCCCATGCAAATCAATTATGTAGACTTATATGTGTAGGTCTATTAGATTTTTTACAATTCTTTTGTTTCTATATACTGAGGGCCGCATACTCAACAACTGATACTGTGTAAGGTGTTGCAACAAGATCCTCACTATTGTACCAACAATCCACAACCAAAACTTCTTAACAACATCCTGGCTGCTGTATAGACAGCCTACAGCCAGGGACCCTTACACATGGAAGAGGGAGGAAGAAAAGAAAGTTTTTTTTTTGTGTGTATGTCTGGTGGGTTTGTTGTTTGGGAAGGAGGGGGGGGAGGGGAACTTATGAGATATTTATGATAATTGGGACAATGATTATAGATGAATAGTTGAAAACCCAAGAACGGAGAATGGAATGCACAGAGGTGAAAGAATACAGAAGCAAAGAAAGAGTTTCATGACCAGATCTACGATGGAAACAGGATATAGTGAAGTGCAGCATGACTAAATTATCTGCACACCGAGAACCAAGCAAGTAAAAGGCAGGTAACAGAAAAATACATTGCCTTATAATGCAGGAAGATGCCATCATAAGACCAATATTTTACCCAAGAAGAAAAAATTACTAGTTTTGGATTCTCCATGAATGACATTCACCGAATTGGTACTCTGTCTAATTCCCTACAAGCTTCACTTCAAGTCAACTATGATAGCTTAGCCCTCTCATTTTTACTACACTCCGAAAGAAGAGAACAAAAGGAGAAGAGAACTTCGTTTATTGGTAACTCTCTAGGAGTCATGTTTAACCTTTGACCAGTCCATATTTAGGAATAGTTAATCTAGCTTGATTTTCTATACAATCAAGGGGGGGAAACAGCCAAGGATTTCCCCCTTGAGAAAAGGAAAAAAAGAAAGAGAAATCGAAAAGGGAAAAACAAGTTAACCACTGGAGACTAGTTGTCTTTGAAGTTTGAATCAAACTAAAGCTTCGAACTACCTGAACCAAGTCAAATTCAAAAAACTTCTGGTAAATAAATTCACCTGAAAAAAATCTAAATTTGATTTGGTGCGTATTGTTGGAAGCAAAATTTGCTGACTTGTAAGCAAGAAGATGCTCCCATCAAAAAATTCAAAATTCATTGAAGAATCAGCGCATTGAGCATGATATTTCTCAAAGATGCCAGCTAATGTGCCCATGCCAAGCTCAAACAATACCCCACAGCACATACAAGCATTAGCTCATTTAGTCTGTCTAATCTTGCTTCTCTTCTTCTTTGAAACTTATCATTGACAAAATATTAAACATGCCAAGTTGACCAAGCAGGAAACGATTGGCTTTTGAATCTGGAAAAATCTACAGCAATGCAATTCCTTTCCCTCAAAACTAAAGGAAATATTTAAAGGAGTATGTCTTTCTTACAAATTTAAACCAATTCAAAGTTCACGGCCTTAATACAACACTGAGCCACAAAGAAAATCTTGAGAATGTCAAAAATATCAACTCACAACTTAGACTTTGAAGAATGAATATCCACACATATTTACTAATTGTCCAAAAAATAGGTGAACCAGAAAGTCCTTTCCACATTGTCAATTCGTTTATTCCTAATGCATCACTCGTTAAGCACTTGGGCATTCTGGAAAAACCTCCAGAAAGGGAACTTAGCAGCCCAATCAGGTGGCTATCAGCCCGAACCAACAATCATCTGCAACAAACAATACCGAATTTTGTTATATTTCTTAAGTCCAGTGAGAAATTTGAGGCCCCTATAACCTTAAACAGATGAAACAATGGGCCAAGTACCGTGAGTTAAATGAAAGTAACAACCAAAAATGGTAGTCCGAAGCCTTGTGTCTAGGAAAAAACAGTGTCATTAAAGGTGCGCTTAGGCCCACCCCTAGGCCCAAGGGGCAACACGTCCCAATTGTCACATTTTGCCAAAACTAGGCAAGGCCACGTCAATAAGGTGCTTAGCCCAGGTCACCTATCACAATTCAGTAAAAAGTTATTTGTTTTGTCTTTTTTCTCAAAACATATTATAAAACCTAACCTGACCCAACTCAATTCCAAAAGAATGTGTCCTAGGAGTCGCCTCTTCACCCTCCCTGTTTTTCCTCAAGTAATTCAAGTGTCATACTTGTCTTAATTATTTGGACTCAACTGCTTGTTTTGGTGTGTTTTGATAAGTCATATAGCTCTATTCTTGTGAATAACTGAACTAGTTTTGTAAAATTGCTGGTTGAATTGCTTTATATTGTCATAGTTCATATGTATTGTTATTGCATAAATTGAAAGATTGAGAAGAGCTTTGTCTCTGTGATAAAAAGTTTCATTTCTCTGAATAAAGACAGATTCAATAAATGCATGTGTTTATGAAATAAGACTTTGTTTGGAATATTTGGAAAGTTTCATTTACCTAAATTAAGGCAGTGTCAATAAATGCATTTGTTTATGAGAAATGAATCTCTGTTTATCAAAATCAACCTCTATTTGGAATATTTGGAAACTTGGATATTTTACATTGTTCGCATCTTTTGATTATTTGCTTAAATTTTGTGTTTTTTGATGTTACATCATGTTTTGAAAAATCAGTTGCACGTTATGTATAACTTGTGCCTCACTTTGATGAGGCCTGAACCTCACCTTAGCGCGCCTTAAATAAGGGAAACCTATCTCAAAATTTTCAAATTAGCCATAACCCTGAGTTTATGCATTTCAACTAGTGGTTCGGGTAAAGATACATTCATAAGTCCAACATACAGTATATGAATGAGGTGGTTCTGGTGAAAGACTGCCTTGTCAATTTGCAGAACCATAGATGGTCTATTTGCCAACTTTCTTTACAAAGTACAAATGCATAAGAAAGGAACTGAGGCGCAATTTTCACTTGGATGTTCTAAGACGTGTGTCTTACTTATCAGCAGAAATATTCACAACTCAGAAAATATTTTACATCCTAACGACAAGTACTACTGAAAGGATTAAGGTCTGCCATTCAATATAAAATGGAAAACTCATTCAATATCCAATTCCAATAAATGTAAGAACAAAACATCTCATATATAGCTGTTATCATTTAGGCACCCTCTAGGGTGTATTTGGGAGGGCCAATTATTGGTCGAGCTAAGAAGCCAAAATTAAAGCAAATCAATGAGACAATGACAGTACTTGAAGATATATGACCATATATTTTCAAAAATGTCTTACTAAAGACCAGCACCCATATAATAGAAAACAGATCTATTACGTAATTAGCCAAGGTCAACATAAAGCACTTCCAAAAAAAAAAGCTACCCAATCAAAAGTACAACAAAGATTTCTTTTGACAAGCCCTCCATCCATGTAATTATTAACAAGAAGATTAGCATGTGGACTTAATAAAAGCACTAATTACTAAAAAAATCTTGGCTTCATTAACATGTACTTGAATCAATACAATACCGAGTTCTAAAAATAAAATCTCATTTCTCAGAAATCAAACCCAAATTAACCATTCATAATTGAGACATTTATAGATAAAAAAAATCTTCATAGTCAGACAATATTAAGATATTTAACTACAACATCCACAAAGGGCGCTAATTTCCCCGCCAAATCATACCATAAAACACTGCGACGGAACCCTAATTTCCGATTTACCAGAAGGGCTATACATTCAAGACGAAAACATTGATTCGTTTATGTACTCCAAACACACGTGTACATAGATATGAATGAATAGACATATACATAGAGAGAGAGCGAAAAAATTACCTAAGCAAAGAAGGAGATGCGAAATAGGGAATAAATATAGATAGATAGATCGAGAGAGAGTGGAGTTGAAAGTGCTCTCAGAAGTGAGACGAGAGATAGAGAGAGAGAGAGAGAAGGTGGCTGCGATTGGGTTTATCTGCTAACGAGAGAAGCCCTAGAAAAATACATTTGACTCTGAGCTTCGACGGGGCGGTTCAGGTTGAGCGTGACCTTCGATTGCCACGTTGCACTTCTTTTTGGATCAGAAGTGGACCAAGTCATAGTGGGACCCACTCACTTGTATTGGATTATGATGAGATTAACCTGAGCCCTTGGATTTGAAGACTTTCTTTTTCATATTTTTCTCTTTTTTCCATCCTGAAATCATCTAATAATCATTCTAACAATAATTATATTTCCACATAATTTACTAAAAATAATCCATCAAAAATTATGGGATTAGTTACGGGCTCAAATAAATAATAGAAGAATTCTTTGGAAGTTGATACACCTAATTAGACTTATTTGACAAAAAGTACATAGAACAAAATGTGAGTTACAAAGACATAAATATTTATTTTAGTATCATTTAATTCAAAGTCTTTTATCTTTAATGCACATTGATTCATGTGTATTTGTTAATATATATATATATACATATACGTATAAATAAGTATATATACTAATATATATTATCTTTAATGCACCTTAATTTTTGCGTTTTTTTTTTTTTTGAAAAGTAATTTTGTTTTCAAATTATATTTAATGCACCTTGATTCAAGCATTTTTTTTTTTTTTGGGAAATGGTTTTTTTTTCAAAATTAATTTAACATCTGAATAATGTAATAGTGTAACAAAGACAGTGTAACAAATATACTGTAACAAAAACAGTGTTCAGTAGTTTTGTGTATGTGATAACAAATTCAA